CTTTCAGGGCTTGAAAGACAGAAAGACATCAGAATCCAAGATTGTCAGTAAACTAAGATCACACCTTCCTCAGCTCTCATTGTTAAACTCTCTTCATTTACAGATCTCAGCTTCTCACGTCTCCCCTGGATTTTGATTCATTTGAACACTCTTTTTCACCTGTATGCCCAATTCTGACATGTTTTTTATCTCCTTTGCTTCATATCCCTGCACCCTTTCTCTCTGTTTCACACCTGAAAAGGTCTCAACAGCAGAAACATTTTTTATTTTTTTTATTTTTCAACATAAAATTAACCTCTCTCTACTGCGTCAATTCCACACAGCTCCCCATTCAAACCTTTCCAGTGTGATGACACAATGCACACTGACACAAATTTCATGCACCAATGCTAATAAAAGAACAATAAACGCATACTGCACTTTAAACAAAATATGTCCTTCATTTCCACAGTTAAAAATAAGATATCATAGATCTGTGATGTTACAGCTTTAAGCAATCCTAATGAAAAATATATTAAACATTACTTGTTTTTATGTTTGCTCTCGTATCAGGCTTTTAAACCTCTTGTGAAGCTATAAAAAACAAGAAAAAAAACAGACACAGTGACCCTGGTTTGAAAAACTGGCAGTTTGACTGAAAGCGTATGCCATAAAAAAGTATTTAAACTTTGGAAAGCATGATCTGCCCAAGCCTCTATTTTTCTATAACCAGATACTCGTGCTTTGTAAGTACAGTCCATATCTTACAGATGCAGACAGCTCAGGGGGAGATTGAAAAGGCCTACTCCCATTTAACCACTCAATCCAGTGATTTAGGGGGAAAAAAGCTGAAGTTCTTGCCACAGAAGTGTTGTATTTGTAGGCACTAACAGAATGTATATCCCAAAAGTCCCAGAATAGCACCCTTAACAATCTCGCTGTCATCATGGCATTGCAGAGAAACAATACAGATCCCACACAAGTTGACAAAGAGACTTTTAAATATTACCATCTGAACGTGGTGAAGAAAGTCAGAGAAAATCATAGTTTTGTCAGGAGATCTGACAGAGCCCTTGAGATGATTGATGGCTTGCCTAAGGAAATAAAAGCCATGCTGCTGACAAAAAGAACTGGTGCTGTCTGATCAGAAGTAATAGACAGTATCTAATAACTACTTGCGTTGACCTACATGCATGGTTTCAATAGCACTGAGGAGTTCTGTGATAGTCTACTACTATCTAAATAGGGTAATGATAAAGAATCATCTTCAAGACCTTGTGTCTGAATTTTAATCTTTGATCCACTATTACAGTATGTGAATTTGCTCATGAATGGATAGAATTAAGAGAATAAAAAACAATTGGTTTAAAAATAAAGTCTGTTTGCAAGTTCAAAGGATATCAACTATTAAAATATTATAAAATACAATCTTTTCTCAAGCACTTGAATATGTACTGTACTTGAATAATTGACATTCTTTGGTATAAATTTGTTACTGAATGCAATGCAATGATACAATATTTTTTTATTTTGCCCATTCTTTTGTAATCATTTTTGCTAACTGGAAATTAGTGCAGCACTTGAAATGCTGCAGTAATAGTTTAGTAAAAGGTCCCAATAATATGTTTTAAAAAAATCGACAATCCACAATCCACCCGTTACAGAGTAATATCAGGCGTGATATTACAATATTTGTTGTCATTTTAAAACATCACTTACACTATTTACAAACATGGTCTATATCACCTTCCCCACCTTGAATGAGATGCCCACAATGTTCCAAAGCACAGTTCAATCTTGTCCAACAAATTAATACTGAAGTTACAGGTGGTGGCAGCAGAATACAGTACAGTATGTATAGTATTCCAAATAAGGGGAGTGAAAGTTCAAGCAGGGCACATTTTATAATATAGATTGTATTTGCCAATGACAACCAGGATCTAGTATGAAATGCCACTGGATCTCTCATCTCCAATGTAAATAAAATGTGACTTTAATTTCCCTTTTCACAGAATATGCTGTTCCCTTTGAACAGATGGACCTATCTTTTCATCTGTGTGAAAGACTTCTGTTGTAATTGGATGCCAATACGAATACAGATTGGTGAAATATAATTATGCACAGATTACAAAATAACTCAAACACAATTCAGTGTATTCAGTGTTTATTTATTTATTTTTTATTTTTTGTTGCTGTGCAACGTGCTGGTGTCCACACGTTTCTGTTTTCTTTGGGCACTATCTTTTCACATTTATAAGAAACAAAAGAAAAAGAAGGAAAAAAAAGATTTTTTTTAACAAGAAAATCAAAAAGCGAATTATTTTAATATTCATATCAGCCCAAAAACAAACTATTGATGAACTCAAGTGTCAATATGACTGTGACTGAGGGCACTTTCGCACTATAGAGCTCATTACGTTTTGTCGCTGCAAGCTCCACAGTGCCTCACAGGACAGTTACTCTTTACTAGAAGAGCAATGAACACCATGTGCTGATTACATTGCGAGCATACAGGCACGCTGCTAAGTCACAGCGGGTGCTGATGATGTGTGGCATGCTAAGGAAACTTGTCATTCTAAATCCACCCACGCCCAACAGCAGGGTACAGATACTCAAACAGGTTTGCATTGGCAATGTCAGGAGCACAAGCCTCAGTGTACTCACCACGTGGGAGTTTTTACTGTATGAACTAATTGGGAGCCCCCATTTACCACTTATGGTTTCATGAAACTGAAGGAAAAAAAATAAATAAATAAACTACTATGGAATAAGCAATGGAAAGGGCAGAGACTTCAGATAACAGAACTTGTTGCAGATATATCTGTAATAAAACACAAGCCCTATTATCATTTGAGCAAGAACTGCTTTATTAGGAATATTTTTAATCTTTGTGCAAAGTACTCTTCCTGTGTAACCTGACTAGTCTGTACCCACCCATTGCTAATGACACAGACTGGGGTGTGGACCTAAAATGGTCAAGCATCACATTTTATTTTAAGGAACGTTTTAAAAATCCAATTGAATTTATAATTCTAGATTAAGCCCTGTGGTATTTTAGAATTTGTTCATGAAGATTAGTTAATTACAAAGGAATGGGGGACTGCGATATATGTTTTACCTACTGTTCTTAAGCATAATCCGAGAGCAATCATAGCATATGGAGAGAGAGTCAGGTTTTTGGGTGGAAGTGAAGGTTAAGTTCATTCATGGGAACAGAAAGACATTTCTGAATGTATCCAGTCTTCAGTGGGTGGGTTGTAAATTTTCAGCAGAAGGCAGCACGAGCTGAACAAAGTGGGAGGCCCAGAAGGATTTGGTGGCACAGTCCTAAAGATTGCTCTGATAGCTATAACATGCCCACTAGAATGTTCAAAAGGGAACAAAGCTTGAAAAACCACAGCCACTCTGGGACACATCCAAAATGGCTAGGGCTTTATTTTAATTGAAACGAGACGTATGAAGTCTCACGGCAATATCCAAAGTTATGTCTCTTTTTTTTTATTCTGGCAAGGCCGTGACTCTTGTCTGACAGCTCTAATCACATCTTCCGACCGGAAGGTTATGCATTTTAATTGGCCTTTTCCGAACAAAGACAGATTTGGTTTTTCCTCTTCTTCGTTTTCTTTAAGACACAGGAAGAAAAAGCGTGGAAAATATGAAGAATGTCTGTTTATATTAAGGGATTTAAAATCATCTCCCACTGTTTTATTGCTTCCAATAAATGTTTATACCTAAGGAGAACGTTTACTATGATGTAAACGTTATAGAATTGCTTAGAAACCAGTGAAGTTTTGAGGCTCTTTAAAGCCTAAATGTATTTGAATGATGCTACACAGTTTCATTCAGATAAGTCATACCAAGCTGTTCCATTATTACCAGTATTTTTTTACTGTATGCTGGATTTAGTGAATATGCAACTAAATTAGAACAAATACCTTCCTTTCAGTAATGCACTACCATTTCATGAAAGGAATAAAGACAACAGAGGATATCAGAAGAACCTAAGGTATAATTTCTTAATTCTTATATCCTTTCAGATGCTCTCACTATCAGAATATTGTGGAGTTAGCAGACTGTATGATGTGGAGTTATTCTGACATAAGTATCTGCAAATACAAGAAAATGTTAATTCTAATTAATTCAACTATACTAAAAAAACACAGTATTCCTTTTGTAAGGTGTTCTTCAATATTTGCTTCCAATTAAGACTATTTTGAATACATTTTTCTGATGCTTCACATTGGCTCAGAACTATTCAGCCACTATCCAACGTACTGTACAAGCATTGCATGAACTTCTCGCACTTGTATTTCCAGCAGATGTACAGTAGATTTGATTCCGCCTAAGGCAATTTCTTAACTTCCGTTGTTACAGCATCTGCTTCTAAAGATGGGTAAACCAGCAAGCTGCTCTTTTGATTTGTTCTCTTCTCTGATTTATACGATCAGACTTTATCCTTTGATGTTCATATGTACTTGTTTGATTATGGAGCACCAGTGTTAAAATAATGAAAAACTGTTCTGTGGTTATAGAATTGATATCAGCCCTGTCCTAAAATAAGGAAAGGCTAGAAGGGAGATAAAAACTGAGGCTTAGTTCTTTATTATGTTTAAGAATTCTAATCTTACTTTGTTAATTTTTCTATAGAGACATCACTTTTTTCATTTCTCATTAACACAGACACACACAGCCCTTACAGAGGTACCCAAATGGAAGGTGCTCGTTATTTTGCTGACCTACAGTCTATAAATTAATTTGTTCAATCTAGGCTTAAAGTATCAGGTGCTCTTGGGGTTACCAAATACATTAAACTTAACTTGTTTAAACAGCCCATTTAAGACTAATGTTTCCAGCTTCTGAAGTCACTGAGGAAAACTGTGAATCATTCAGTCGGTGACCACAATACCACAACATTTGAGAACTCCTTTTTTATGCAGTGTCCACTTATTTTTTCTGTCTTTTTCTTTCTGGTACATTGACGTATTTTATTTCAGACAGTCAGCATTTTGACTCCCGCTCACCTCTAGTCTCTCCTGTTTGACTTCATCAACGTCATCGTCTTCTAACAGGGCCAAGAAATCCCCTGTCTGGTCAATAGAGCTGAGAAAGTCGTGAGCCAGCTTCTGCCGTTTGTTTACACTGCTGCTGCTGAATTTGTCTACATGTGGGTGCAAAGAGGAAGGAAAAACAATTACTAACTTTAATTTCTGCACATCTGCAGCACAGATGTGGCAGTTTACACCTGACCCACACCTCAATGTCACGTGAGGCACTTGAGGTGCCGAGTCTGAACTCCAGTCAAAACAAGAAAATCACCCTCTTATAGACTTTGTGGCTTCAACAGACACCAGTTTAATTGCACAAAATGTAGTTGATAAAACTCTAGTTTTTGTTTGTGTTGTTTCAAAAACAGTTCAGATTCAAATGTCTTATACTTACCATTTTTACTTTAAATTATGGGCTACGTGTCTATGCAACACATTTAGACCTCAAACTCGTCTTTAAATCAATAGTATGACACTACGGGTCTGCTTTTCCACTGCGGGCATTTTGCCTATCCTGGAAAATAAGGACCCATGTGTTTAATTATGGATTATGGTATTTGGACACAAAGAACAAGCAACTATTTAAGCCTATAAAACATAACTGCAAACAAGATGTATATTCCTGAAAACTGCAGCAGAAGTAGTCCAAGCCCAACAACCTCTTTCACATACTGTATCCTAACATGAGCTGAACTTCTAATATATTATTTTGCAATTAAAAACAAGTTGAATAAAAAAAATGATAGAATGAAGAGCTCTGAATGAACACCTTCTTATCATCAATAAATAAAAAAAACACACCCATGTACAGCTGTAGAGGGTGGGAATGTTAGAAAAAGGAAAAATTACAAAAGGCAATTCTCACTGAGTAATCATGTCTGATAATGTCTGATAATGTCATAATGTCTGATTGATAATTAGACTTTCACATTTAAATAAGGGTAGCAGAATAATAATAATAATCGACTTCATTTTCAAGATGATTAATAGCAGTATTTTTCTTTCAATATTATTCTCATTTTGTACATTTTCTACATTTGCCTGAATCTACTGTATAGCATGAAATTGTGTGCCACTACAGTAAATGTTCCTTATTTTTTCTTTCATTAAAATTCTTCTAATTTTCTTGTTATACATTGTTTTGCTACTTAACAATATTACATTTATAATAAAATGCATACTGTACTTCAGTTACACATTCAGTGCCATGCAAAAGTATTAATTCTCTTCTAATTATATCACTTTTTGCTGAATTAAACATTAATATACATTTATAAGTTGTATGCACATATATACATTTATAAGTATTTTTAATCTTAAATTGCTTAAACTGCACATTTCTATGTCTGAAAATAAAAATAAAAAAATGAAATGTTAATTTCATAAGTATAAATTTGGCTGCTTAAGTAATGTATATACTTGGTGGAAGCACCTTTGGCAACATTTAAAGCTGCTAACTGGCAGTTGCAGGTCTTTCTGGATCAGTGTCTATCAACATTATACACCATAATGCTGCAATGTCAGCCCTGTCAGGTTGGTTAAGGATTACCGATGAACAACAATTTTCAAATCCTGCCAGAGGCTATCAAACAGAAACGCCAGGAGTTTGACTGGGCCACTCAAAGACATTAACTTTTGCCTTGTTGAGCCATTCAGGTGTGGCTTTGGTCTTAAGCACTGGGTCACTGTCTTGCTGAAAGGCGAGTTTCCTTCCCTTTGATTTGCCTAAGATTTGCCTCCATTCCTTTTCCTTTTCAGTCTTTACAAGCTACTAAATCCCTGCTGATGTGCAGCAGTCCCATAAATTAGAATGCTTCACTACAATGATTGACAGTAGGGGTTGTTTTAAATGGTTAAAGGACTTTGTTGGGTTTGCACCAGATTAAATGTTTAGCCAAAAAAATGAAGACCAAAAACCTCCAAGCCCTAAAGCCTTTGTCACATGTTTGCTGTATCACTAAAATGATTTGTTGCAAGCTCCATGTGGGATTTGCGATGGTTTATTTTTAGCTATGCCAGCTTTAGGGAATGTCCAGGATATTGTTGACTCATAAACAATGTCAAAGTTGCCGTTGTCCTCACGGTGACATCCTTAAACACTTCATGTTCGCCCAGCCACTCAGTTTTGAGGGACAGCCTGATCTAGGCAGTTTCTGAGTGGTAAAATACACTATCCACTTCTTAATGGTCAACTTCAACATGTTCAAAGTGATATTCTGTGCCTTTAATTAATTAGGGTGGTGCTGTGGCTCTGTGGCTAAGGATCTGTGGCTGGAACATTGCCAGGTCGAATCCTGTGGCCAGCAGAGGAATCCTACACCATTGGGCCGCTGAGCAAGGCCCTTAACCCTAACTGTTCCAGGGTGCCATATAAATGGCTGACCCTGCGATCTGACCCCAAGCTTCCCTCCCTGTCTATGTTTCTCATGGAGAGCAAGTTGGGGTATGTAAAAGACAAATTCCTAATAAAAGAAAACTGTATATGGCCAATAAAGTGATCTTTCTTTCTAAATCTTTCAAATTTGTATACCTCTCTCCTGATTTGTGCCTTTGTACAGATTTATTTCATTTGATTTCATTTGCTGCAGTACGACAGCAATGCTGGCAATATCCAGTGCCATTGTGTCCCTCTTTTTGCTTTGATTGCAGGATGCACCAGCAACAAATAAAAGGATTAGGCCTAACATGAAAGCTTACAGTAGGTATTAACTGTGGCTCATTGAGAACACAAGCCTGATGCTGTCATCTACTATTTAACGTTTCAACCTTTCTTAAGAAAATGAGAGATGACATACGTACGTACAAAACGTATGGTGTTTTAAGACCGCTTGGAGACTGTCAGCCAATATTGTATTTCAAATTGTTTTTTTTTTACAATTAAAAAAACATGAACTTGAATGTGTTTACATATCCATGTTTCAAATGTTGTTGTGGCTTGGGGATGGCAGCTGAGTTTCAGCAAGGCTACAGTAGCATTATTTTAGTTTTCAGCAAACTTACTTTATTCCGAAGGTTTGAGATAAATTGTTCTGCTGTATTTACACAGCTTCATATGTCGAGCTACAGATGATCAAATAAGTAGTCCCAACAATTTAGTCAGGTTTAGTAACATCACTGTTAAATCATTAAGTCATCCATATTCAACAGTGACTGGGGCATTTCTAGTGAGGCCTTTAAGCCAGCCTCAATAGGATGAACCATAATCTAAAAACAGAAGAAGATATACAGAAGAAAGGAAAAAAAAAGAACATGAGGAAGAGGAACAGACATCATCATCATCATCATCCTCCCCTCCTCTTCATTAAAAGGGGATGGTGCCTGTGCCATTAAGAGGGTGCCTCTTTCCAATCAGACTTGAAACCACATTCTGTACAGGCAATCTGAATGCTGAGCCTTTCCTTATTGTGGAATTCCCAGGCAAAAAACAAGTTGCCTATTTTTTGTGATGCCTTTGTTCAGAAAAGGGACAGAATTGGTTTCCATTTATTCATAAGTATTTGTTTAGAAATGCTAATACTGTCAATACTTTCATAAATGGTATGGTTAGTGTTAATATTTACTGTAGGTTTATGATACTACAATTAGTAACCCTTTAAAAATAAATAGGCATCGTCATTTGATTAAATTGTTAAATTTTGGATGTACCGTAGATGATAAATAACTGCTACACCCAACAGCTGAGACAAAAACATTTCAACATTTCAAAAACATTTCAATAGTCAAACACCAGCATATGCACATTTTATGCAAGTCTTGTTTTTAAAGAAATTTATTTTATCCTGAATTGCTTTGTTCCCCAAATTTTTTATTTTCCAGTCATCATGTAATGTTCAGAGCAGACAGTGTTGCATGACTGCTTCTAGTTATATGGTGTCATTATATCAATCTGTATTATCAGGGTAAGCCAACTTTAGTACTTCTTAATAACACTCCTTCATAAGAAACTGCGTCACTGTCTCATTCTGGAGGCAAGAACAATTTTAAGCGCCTTAAGTATAATAATGTTTTTGACGTTTGTGTGCATCATGACTTTAATTTTCAGATTTATAAGCTAGTGCAGTGTCACATTTGTTTTTATTAAAAAAGTCATACGATACACTCACTTTTTTCATTTAAAGGAAAATGGGTTTAATAAACTGCTTGTCACACATGAAATTCATAAACTCAATTAAAGTTATAAATATACAGTATGTATTTTTTTCAAACATTTTTCATGGAAGATAATGGTTCCTGTGGTTGGGGGGCTAGGATAAAGCACCAGAAAAAAGAATCTGAAAAGATTTTGTCCATAACCAAAGTGTGAGACAGAGCATACTGTGGCAGACCCCATCAGCAATGCCAAATAATTACCAGTTCAAGGTAACTCGTCTGTTTTCTAAAAACTAACATGATGTGTCATGGTGCATGATGGCTTTGATGGTGACATCTAACCATTCAACATTTGTGTATGTAACATATAATCTCTCATGTTTATGATTTTACAGGTGAATGAAGATCTATAAAAATCAATAGTTGCAAATCAAGTACAAATCTTTATTATAAAACTGAGAAAGAAATGGCAGTTTAATCATTAGGCAGTTTTGTAATTGGGTTGTTCAGCTTCTTAACTCAAATATGGAATCATTTGATATAACAGAGGCAGTATAATATTGTAATAAAAAAATGTATTTTCCTTTACACAATGAAGTGTGAAAAATTCCTAGTGAATTTCAACTTCCAAGTGGAGATCCATTTGAAAAAGGAAAAGACTTTAATTCCTTGACTTTTGTGTATTACGTAATTGCACTCCAGATACAGTTTTGTTCTATGTTCAAATTACTATACTGTTCCACATATGAAGCTGTTTTCAACAACATGAACAAGCTCAGAAAACACATTCTTAATAAGCAGCATCTAAGTAGTTTCAACTAAATTTACAACCGACTCACCTGCACCAAAGTATTTTTTGTTGTAGCCTGGGGCTTGTTGTCTCAGCTGGATTTAAATGGTTTCACCACTACTGTTTTGAGGGTATGCGGAATAAAGATGGCACCAGAAATACCACAACACATGGATCTGACCCTGTGGTACTTACAGTGATTTCCTTGCTAACCAATTGCATAATTATTCTGGGACAGTGTGCAAGCAACATGATTACCCAAATCATTCATCTCATTTCACACTGAACCACAAATCAGCTACCTCTAATAAGAAACATAATGACAGGATTTGCACACACATGCTTGCAGTGAACAATAACTAGGGCAATGATGAAATCACTATATTGCTACTTTCACTGCCATTATTTACACCATTACTATTACAATAAATTCAATATTATATAGAAACTATAGGAAATACATGGGAATATTGTAGAAAAATATTAAGATCTTAAGTATAGTGAGAGTAGTAAATAACTATAAATACCTATTATGTTTTTATTTGGTTGACACTTTTATGTTCTCATTTATAAAGCTGGGCATTTTAGTATCACGCCTGTGCTGATCAAACATATTCAGATCTACTAGTATTTCCTTCTTACACTTTTTTATTTTTGGAGAAATATGAGCAGATCTGAAACAAGAAAATGAGTTCAGATGTAATATACAGCTGAGTTGTCTTCTTGAACAGGACGCATCTACATAGTAGGTCCATTTAGTCCTTAGCATCTGAAACATGAACCTGGGAACAAATGACGAAAATTGTACTTTCAGCTCATTCCAAGTTCATTTTAATTGCAGAACTCCGGGGAAAATAATGCAATTTTCAGCCACAAGATCCAAGAAGTAAATAATGGAATGCATCTAACCATTTGCTTTATTTATGTTGTCTTGCCCTAATTATAAATGGGAAAAAAAGGCTGACACAGACTCCTAAGATATTTTAAACAAAGAAAGAAACACTGTGAGTGATAGTGATACAGTAAACCCAGTCAACAATACTAATACAAAGCCTTATTAAGGACCAAGCATTAAACTTAATCATTCAGCACAAGTAAGATCCATTATTAAGAACAAAATAATAACATTAAATAATAATACGAATAATAATTTGAAAATATTCATTACTATTGTCATAAGCATTAAAAAAGTGAAATAGTCCACAGTATTACATTGTATCATATGGTTTTAATTAATGGGTTTGAGATACAACTGGTAATCCTATGCAACGAATACATAAAAATATGGAAGAACAAACTCAGATTTGAGCAAGCTCTAAACTTGCTGAACCTGAACACAATGCAAATGTGTAATTCAGCCATGGAGTAATTAACTTCTAAAGTTCCTTTCTTTTTTAAAGTATAATCTTGGAAAGACTTACAATAATCAACTCAAGAAAAGTTTATTCTTTTTAGTATCTGATTCCAGACCTAATTTAAGCAATGCACCAAATGGTTTGCAGTAAATCTCAATATGTACCATCCTACTTAGCAAAAAAAAGTTATGCACAGACATGCGGGCTCCTTTGCGATAGACTGTCAGACGTTGCTTTCTAAATACTGCATTTAAAATCATTCCATTGCTCAAGTTACATGAGAGACTGGAGAAAATACACAAATGAGATTCATCATGGAATGAATAGGGCTGAATTCTCTATTTTTTCAAGGTATTGATGAACAACATTTTTATTGTGGGCAAATAATATGCCCTGTGAAACTAAGAAGTGATTCTTTGCCAAAACTTCTGCATGAATCACACTGATGTCCTGTGTGATGACTGTACTGATTGATTATGGCACATAAAATTACCTTGGCTGGTTCCAAATTCATTATTTTGCCTCCATCATTCAAAAGAATGACTAAATGGTGAAATGTACAGTAATTCACAGGAAAAACAGAGTACGCAAATAAATGCTTGCACAAAAGTGTCTATAACAATAACAGATCAAGAATTTGGATTGGATACATTAACTATTTTAAATAAATACACATACAGTATAATCCCATAAATGAGTATTAGTATCCTACAACTGCCTTACAGTTAATGGTGTATACATAATGTGCACTTGGACAAAACGTTTCAAGAGAAAACAGTCGTTCAAAATCTGCTTTGTAATTTGCTGTATCTTTACTACTGAATGACTGATGATGAATTAGTGTTAAACAGCAACAGATCAGATAAACATTATTATGATAAGGCAGGACACAAATGACTCAAATGCACAAGCAGGAATACTTTCATTTTTGCAAAAAAGAAAAAAAGGAGCACTAACAAAATGTAAAGAACAGTCGCAACCTGTTCTTTGGCTGAAAATACCTATGGTTTTTAAACATATTAAGTGAAGAAGGTCTGAATTCAGTTAACTACTGTGAAACCCATTACCTGGGTTATTGAACGAAGATTACCAGCACAGGCCAAAATATTAGATGCAAGAGGTTAATTAAGGATGTGGTACTGTATTTAAATAAAAAACTGATGCTAGTCAATCAGGGAACCTTCTACTGGGTTGAAACATTTATGGTGCAGTTAAGAATAATTTTGTAAATTTTACTTTTTTACATTTTCACTTATTTTTGAGGGTCCTTTAACACTTCATGTAAAAACAACCTTCCTCATATGCAGCGAAAGGTTCACACAGAATATAGTAAAGGTGCTTAGAATGTATTTATTTATTAAGGTAAGACAAATTAAAGCTGCCACGTCCACCACAAACTATATTCATATGGCTATATAATAAACAAAAATATTCCAAAATACAACATACAGTATATCAAAATACCTGCTTCAAGTAGGTCTTCGTCATCAACAGATTTAACAATTTTGGATTTGTAGTCTCGGAAAATCATGTATTTCAGCAACCTCCGGATTTTTTTCTGTAAAAGAAAGCATGATTCTAACTAATACATCAGAAATCCTGCACTGCTGAGTGCAACCGAAGTGAGTGAAATTATTGTTCTTTTTAACTCTTGCATTAAACCAAAAAGGAAGCCTTTTGCATGCTTTAGTTGAAAAAGCAGAGCACTGGTAAGCATGAGCACTCTAAGGAAAAAAGATGGAGATGAGGAAACCCACAAGGGTAAAATTGGACTATTTTTAATCTAATTTATAGTGTTCAAACTAAAATTTGTAATAATAATTCTGAATTAAAAGAACATTAATGAAAAAGTAATTTATTTCAATCTTAAACTTGCCCTGGTTATTTGAAACCATAATTTTGATTTAAAACATTTTATATATTCCTAATTATACTGTAGTGCAAGAAATTCAGCACTTTTCTGGTAGTACTGATTTTTAAAATTTGAGGCAGCCTCTTTTTATTTTGCTTAAAAGTAATTTCTTGTTACATTTTTTAAATAAGACTGACTACTGCAGCTTTAAAAAAAGATTAAAGTAAAAAAAATCAAAACATGTAATTATCTAAAGAATATGAAGTGAGAAAAGGATAAATAAACTTATGGTGTCACTTACTGACTAAAATATAACTGTTTGGAAAAAAAAATAAAAGACACCAACTACTTACCTTCAGACAAAACTGAAAAGTCTATTTTGTTCTAGCCTTAAGAATGCTTTTAGATAATATAATTAAATAACATAGGGTTATATAAAGTTTTGCAAACTTACCAACAAATAATTAAAACAAAAGTCTAATTACAAGAAATGTATATGACTGTCTAAAAAAATTTGAGAAGGGAATTTTCAAAAGAGTATTTTCTTGTGTTATTCATTATTTTTAATATTAATGGTATATAAACATAAACCCATTCATATATCCACATTTTAATGTTACTGGATTTTTCCGAGACCCTGTAAAATACAGTATGTGATATCAGATTCCTTGGTTAAAAAAATAAATAATCTTTAAATATAAGTGTTGATGCAGTTGAAACCATTGTAAGACAGAAACTACCCGCTTTCTAACTAGTTTCAGTATTTTAGCTTTTTGGTTCTCATGCCCAATTTAGAAAGCATAAAACATGAGATTGTGTAAGTGGTTTTCTACCTTGTCTTTCCTCATAAGAAACAGGATGTCTTCAGCTGATATGACTCTTGCCCCTCTCAGAAAAGACACCTCAGCTGCTTGCTGTAGCTGGAAGAGCAAAACAAAATCAGGTCAGGCTTGTTTCAAATGACCTATTATACTTTTTTCTACATTAAAAAAACTATAGACATTATTCTTACTTAAAAATATAGTCTCAAAAATATTTCTATCATTACAATATTGCAGGCTACACAGTTTTTACATCTGTTTTCAAGTAGTTTGCTTGTATAATAGCAACACCAAAATATCAAAAACATATCTTCATTTTGATATGAACAAATTGAATGTTAAAAATTATTTGTAATGTAATTAGATAAGTTTCTATTTTGTGCCTTTTCTTTTATGCGCAGGAGACTTTTTTGTGTGAGGAGGGTATAATGACTGACACAATGTACTGTAGCTTGCACTTTGAACAGAATTTATACTAAAAACACACATCAATTAAGATTGATGATTGACCACTTCATAGACTGCAAATACAATAATACTGTATGCTTTCTTTTTGCATGGGAATTTAGAAAATTGTGCCTAAACATTAAGAAACACAAAAAGGCACCTGAAAATCATTTAATGAAATTCAATATGTAATACTAATAAGAGCCTTGGTTTCGCTCAGTATCACTAGATGAATAACCATACTATTAATTTTAGCTCCCATGCTGGTACAACATTAACTAGTTCTATTCAGATTTTTTTTTTATCAACAACAACAGTAGCTGGTTTTAATATCCCAAAGAAAAAGGGTTTGACTTTTCTTCTTGGCTACTGCTCAGTGGGCATGAGAGCTAGTCCATAAATCATTATATTGGACTAGAGTCATATTTTTTCCATGCTGACTGCATGCACCCAAGAACTATTAACTGTTTCTGATAATGCAGCATAGCACTACAGTACTCAGATCATGGATAAAAGCAAAATTATTGAGTGCTTCAAACATGCAGTGTGAATTACAGATGTTGGTGATGACTGACTGAGTACAAGGAAGGAGCTGAGTAAGTGAATCTGTGTTTATGATAGCCAGATCTAGACTATCACAAAGATTCCTTGTCAATGTCTAGGTCATGGAATCCATTTTTCTACTGTGAGGGGAGGAGACCACACTGTCATTACACAGTAGACTTAACTCCAGGATTGAGATTTGCATTTCATTAAATAAAAATGACTTTATTCATCTCTTAATTTTGTATTATGTTACTGCAGAAAAAGGGGGATGTTGCAATCATATGGAAACAATCTTTGAAACCTCCAGTAAAGAGAGAAAAAAAACCTACATGAAGAATGCCCTTTAAGTTAAGCGCTGTAATTTCTTTTTATTGCTTAAGAGCCAAAACACCTCATTAATCAATGTCACCTTTCTCACAAAATGATAGCTGTCCACATGTAAATCAGTAAAGAAAACGTATGCCGAAGAATTAAGCAAGCCTCTCTCCATGAAACGTTTTGCAGTTTCAACTGATATTTTTAACTGACTGGCTTCTAGAAAAAACAAATGTATTTTTTATTTGGACATAACTGGCAGCTGAACCAAAAATAGTTAAAAAAATGTAGAGATGTCTGCTGTAGTACAAAACTGCTCTCCCAGTAACAAAGAATTACTGTTACTGGAGTTAAACCAAGAAAAAAAACTGAAGAAGGTGTATCTGAGGACAAATGAATTTTCTCTTCTACTTCTAAAAACTTCATCCATTCTTAGAAAACAAGGTTTTAACCGGCTGAAAGCCCAGTATATTGTGATCTTAAGAATTTGGTAATGTTAGATGTAATGTTTGGTAATGTTTTGTTTTAATTCCTGTTTAAGATACCAATACCACAGTTCACAAAACAATTGAAGATTTATCAATAACAAGATAGCAGTATAACTGAGTCAGTTAAATGTTTCAGAAGGTTAATACAAAAACAAAGTTTCATATCTGAAACAGACTGGTCCTACAGATTGTTCAGAAGATCATGTTTTGTATCTGAAAAAAAATGAGTGCAAACAGAGGTACTGTACACACTGCAATCGATTATCTTTGTTGTGTACAGCAAAAGAAAGGTTTTCACAAATGAGAAAGCAATTCTGAATCTTGTTCATTAGCCTCAATAATCAGGTAGCTTTAGAAGAATACATTAGGAGACTGTATTATTATGGTTTACTTTAACAAGGGTTTAAAGTTTAAAATGGGTAATAGTTCAAATATACATAAAAATTACCAAAGAACTGAAGATCATGCATCTCCAACAAAACATTCTCCAGCTTTACATACCGTATACCAAATATTCAAACAATACTGCTTTATTTAGTTTATAAGATTGAGTATAATTCACTGTAAAAATTGTATTTCCCAGAAGAAAGTGTATCAGTTAGGGTAGTTAGCCATTCAAAGCTCTGTCTTGGGAAAGGAACCAAAACACAGCCTATATGACAAAGACAAGGAGAAAGAGTGAATATGTGTGAGAGAAGAGAGGGAGACAGGGATGGAAAGAGACACAAAGGGTGAGTTGAAGCAGACTAAGACATTTGGAACATTAAATATACAAAAAAAAACATTTAAAAGAAGACTTTTGACTTTTTAAAACAACATCTGCAGAGTGGGTGACAAGGCCCTTATGAATTGAAAAAAAAAATAGCCTAGCGGGAAAAGCAGGCTAGAAATAGACCTTCGACTGGCAGTGGAAAAATACAGGTATTTCACTAATCAGTGTTTTTCTTTGAAATTGTATTTATTTGTTTGACCAGACTGAAAGCAATATGAGTTCTCTGCCACTATTATTTTTTTTAAAACACTGTGTAGTTTTAAGAACTTTTCCGGTGTTGAAAATGTAGTGCAAATACAGACATAAAATTGATTTAAAAACAAAAACTGTTTTACAAAAAGAGCCAACAGAGATAAATATTCATACACCCTAACTGTCAGTCTTTCCTACACAACCCTCATACTTTTCAGCTATTCAGAGAAAGACACACAAACAGGTTCCTTCTCAGGGAAGAAGACACAGGTGTAGCTGTGTAAAAGTTAAGGACTACAGTTTCCAAATTCATATATTGCCACAGCTTCCTCTAAAACATAAATACATCATCTTTTGGGCTTGGCCATTTCCCAATGTGGACGTACTTCAGCAGTGTTTAGCACACCGTTTAAAAGGTAATTAATCTCTTATTAGATAAAACATTATTTCAGAAAACTTTAAATATACACTTTTTATGCTTCATAAATTTTATTTTTTTACTGCTCTGAAGGAGATGGTTGCGGGAAGAGACTGACTGAAAGTTTAACTTTCCTATCCTCTGTGTTCCTAGTAAGCTTCCCATAATGTTTACAATGGTAAGGAAAGGTGATATTTATATATTTCAGTGGTTTCCTCTTGTACTTTCTTGTCTATTTTAATGCACACTAAAGCACAGAAAATGGGTTTATGAGTAAAAACCTTGCAAGCTGCACGTCTTGAGAAAGTAAGAAATACGTCTCCTATTGTTTCTTACTCAGTGAACATACAGTATCCTGCTTATATTTTCATTATTAATACTTACAACCACCTTTGACTGCTGTTACACTTTATCTATTGATGGATCACATACCACACCTTGTATAAAGTATTAGACAACCCCTATGTTTTAGGAGAACAAGGAAATAATATTCATAGCCTTCAAAAGAACTATTTTTGACTATTTTTTAATGTAAAAAAATAAAAATAATTCCTTCAGGGGATACTGTCAACATGTTGCACTCCCAATCCTACTCAGGTCATGAGTCAATTTAGTTTGAAGTTACAAAGATGACTTTAACTTCAAATTATCCATAAATGTTCATTTGGACATAAGTCAGAAGACTGGGGGACGCCAGTTAGAAAGTTTAATGTGGTTTCTTGTAAACTAGACCCTGCTTGCATTAGGCATGGAGCATTATTCTATTATTAATTTATTTGGCATGATGCCTTCATCCAGAGCAATTTAGATTTGTACCCATTTGTACAGCTAGAAGTACTGTATATCTTAGTGCAGTATCTTGCTCCAAGGTATGTGGCAGTAGTGTGGCAAGTAGTGGTTTGAAACCGGAAGGTTGTGGATTGAAATCCCTGATGGGAGACGGTTGTTACACATATCAGCACAGATACTGTTGTCAAATGTACCTTGAGCAAAGTACTTCACTCAGATTGCTCAAGAATTTTCAGTAGACTTCCAACCTTCATAAACGAAAAACAAATGTAAGCCATTTTGGATAAACGAGTCAGCTCGTTAATAACAACAGAACAACACTGTCCCACCAGAGATATGAACCTATAACATTCTAGTCTTGATGTCAGAGCATGGAACGAGTACCAAAAAAGTACCACATAATAATAACTACATTATAGTACGTTTGAGATCTCCTTCAGCTACCAGTGATGTAACCCGCCAAAAAATTTTTTTAGCTGGGGGAAGTGGAAGTGAAAATTCTCTAATTGAAAAGCATCACTAGCTCTACTACTTAGGAAGACCAGTCTAGTTCTGCTGTTTTTTTAAGATGTTTTAAATGGTAATCTTCAAAGATTGTGATGTCCACAGTGTTACTTCAACAGGGTGTAATTTTTCTTTTATCCCTAACAGTGCGGACTGTTGCAAAACTGTGCAAAACTGAACTTGAAAAGGCAGCCAGGCACGTGGCTTGTGGAAACTACAGTACTTACAAAAGGCTGCTAAGGTCGGACACAGACTGTCATTGATTAAGTGCAATTTGTCCTGTCACAGAACAAAGACATGCTCTCCACTGCATAGTGGGACAACCAATCTGTCTCAATACCACCCTAGGGCTGTGTTCAGTACAAGCACCCTTGTAAGGCTGTAAAGTTCCACATTAAAAAAAATCCACTATGGCCTCAGTTCAGTATACTTCTAGATAAAGAGCAACTCAGAAGTCCTAGAGAAGCCTTACAACAGTTGTGGAGAATGTGACTTAATCCAATGAAATGAGCAGATCCCTCTGAACTGTAAGACACTTGGACAACTAGAGGACAGAAAGTGTGGCTTAAGGTGTCAAGCAATTTCATCAATTTCCCTACAGGATTAATAAAGTATTATCTATCTATCT